TCACGATTGTTTCTCATTTGCTGCGGTCTTCGTGTGTAGTCGTTGCGGGGCCCACGGCGAGATGGGAACGTTCCGCAATTTGCCCTCCGTCTGCAAAGGCCCCGCTACCAATGAGTCGACGCTAGCCAATCAGAGGCAGGCGGTCAGGCGTCTTGAGAGGGGGCTTCACGCAAGGACTGGTGTCAAGCTCGCGGAGGGTACGACGGCCGTTTCGCCGCTCCTGGGGATTCCTCTAACCCCAGGCCCCCTTCTCCTTGCTGATTTCCCCTCCCCCCCCCTCGCCCGTCGCGTCGCCCGTCGCCCGCCCGCCGCTCGCCTACACCTACGCGATGCAGCAGGACAGGTTCGACGAGGCAGCGACTGCGGCCACGCGGGGAGGGGCTTTAGAATTTAGCTGGCGTTTTGAGGCCATCTTGAACTGGACCCCCTGGTCGCCCTCGCTGGCTTCGAGGGGGCGTTGAGGTCTGTGCTTCCTCCTCCTCCTCCTCCTCCTCCTCCGTCTCCTCCTCCTCCTCCTCCTGATCTTTCTCCTCCTCCTCATCTTCCTTTTCCTCCCCCTCCCTCCTCCTCTTCTAACCTCCGACCTCCCGACGAAACATGGAGGCGTTCAGAAAACGATGGGGGCCATGGGTCATACCCCGATGGGGGCCACGCGGATGCGCCCCTATCGAGGACGGGCGCCCCCCATTGGATATCCCAGGGTTGGGCCCAGAACATTTGGTCCACTTGAGAGCCCTCCAAAGCTTGGGATAGGGGTGGACGTATCCTCCACTAGATACCGCGACCGTTCCCTCGCTTTCGTATTTGTGGCCCACATGGGGAGGCGGTCTCGTCGCCACGGCCCAGTCTCAGCGCGCCCCGGCAGAGGTATGGCGGGGGCAGCGGTATCGGTACACCTCTTGTTCTGACCGCGCGTAATTCAACAGAGGAAAAACCCAACATAAACGTTTGGCGCTCCGCGCGGATTTCTTGGATCGGCGCTGGGCCCCCCAAGCGGCGGCGTGGGCGCCGCCCCCGACGCGCTCCGCTCCGCGCGCGAGGGGGGGGGGGGTCCAGCGCAGGTCCAATAAATTCGCGTGGGGCGCCAAAGGTGTAAGTTTATGGCGTGGTCGTTTTTTCTCTTCGTCTTATCTTTTGTATGGTTTTTTTTATGTTTTGGTTATACTGTCGGTCTTAGTTCCAATATGTCTTATGTTGCCCTTCCATCTTACCCTTCGTATTGCTATGCTTCTCCAGTTACTAATAACACCGCGCGTGTCCGGGGGCTTCGACGGCCACCGAGCTGCACGTATACAGATCGTCGGAGCTCCGCGCGGGCTGCTCCGATCGGTTCCCGGGCTCCCCCCGGCGGCGCCCCCGGCGTCTTTCCTGAGGCGGCCCGCGCGTTGGTCGGGGGTCCGCGCGGACCTCCCCGGAGGAGAAGAGGACGAGGAGGAATCGGAACCCAACTGCGAAGCGCGAATAACGTCGCGCCCTCGAGGGCGCCCGTGGCAACCATACATGCTTGAAGGTACGAGAGATCCAAACAATACACCACCACCAGCCCTGGCCAGGCGCATCCTGGGCCCCGGACTGGTGTACGGGCCCTCCTCGCCTAGGCCTGGAGGTCTACACAACAGTCCAGGGCGCCCAACTTCGCGCTGCGCGGAGCGCGACACAACTTCGCGCTCTCGCGCCGCCCAACAGGGGAGAGGAGGAGGATGACGAGGAATAGGAACCCCACTGCGAACCGCAAAAATCATCGCGCCCTCGGGGGTGCCCGTGGTAAACATAAACTTTTTGAGGTATGAGTGGTAGGAGAGCTCCAACCAAAACGCCACCACCAGCCCTGGCCAAGCCCATCCTGGGCCATGGACTGGAGTGTATTGACCTTCGGGCCTAGGCTCAAGTTGGGCGTGTCTGTCCACAAGAGGAATACTCCTAAATACTCAAATATAGTCGGGGACGATTTGTTCCATATGTGTCATCCGTTTGAATATTTGGGGGGTGCTTTTTATTTGTCGTCCAAAATCCGCCTGTAGGGGGACATGCCCGACCTTGGCCTAGGCGAGGAAGGCCGCTACACCAGACCAGGGAATAGGATGGGCCTGGCCAGGGCTGGTGGTGGTGTCCTGTTCGGAGCTCTTCTACCTACAAAGTGCGTGGTTACCTCGGGCGCCCTCGAGGGCGCGACGTTGGTATTGGTTTGCAGTTGGGCTCCCATTCCTCCTCATCCTCCTCTTCTCCCTTGGGGGGCGGCGGTGGTGGTGGCTCTTTTGTTTGAGGTCTCCCTCTCCTACATCCAACAGTTCATGTTTACCACGGGCGCCCTCGAGGGCGCGATGATTTTTGCGGTTCGCAGTTGGCTTCCGATTCCTCCTCCTCCTCCTCCTCCTCTCCCCTGGGGGGCGGCGCGAGAGCGCGAAGTTGTTCGCGCTTCGCGCAGCGCGAAGTTAGGCGCTCTGGACTGTTGTGTAGACCTCCAGGCCTAGGCGAGGAGGGCCTGTACACCAGTCCAGGGCCCAGGATGCGCCTGGCCAGGGCTGGTGGTGGTGTATTGTTTGGATCTCTCGTACCTTCCAACATGTATGGTTGCCACGGGCGCCCTCGAGGGCGCGACGTTATTCGCGCTTCGCAGTTGGGTTCCGATTCCTCCTCGTCCTCTTCTCCTCTGGGGGGGGCGGCGCGAGAGCGCGAAGTTAGGCGCCCTGGACTGCGGTGTAGGCCTCCAGGCCTAGGCGAGGAGGGCCCACAGACCCGTCGGGGTCCCGGCATGGGGGCCTGGACTGGGCTCCGGAAGGAGCATCTCACAGGGTGCAGCCTTTTCGCTCCTGGATGCTCTCTCCATTGCTGTTCATGAGGGAAAACACACAGACACAATCAATCGTCGATTCCCCAGAAAATATAGGAAAACATGGGAAGTGGGGGGGAAGACAAACACCCAGAAAATATGGGGAGTCCTTTTATTTGTGTGTTTTTATTGGTGTGTTTGTGGGCCCCTTCTCTCCTGGTCGCTCTCTCCACTGCTATTGCAGGCTCCATTTGTGTCCCTGCAGGAATTTGGCTGGAGACGAATGCTTTTTGGAGTGACCTCGGGCAGCGCCTCTTGCTCTGGGGGTGGCCAGATCGTCCCGAACGGCCGCCAGAGACCCCGAGCTGTGAGCCGAGGAGGGCCCAAGAACTGCCAGATCAACGTCAGCGAGCCCCCTCAATCCCACGTCCGCACCGTTCTCGCGGGCTCCCACAATCCGAAGTGCAAACTAGCATGATTGGTCCAGTCACTTCATTTTTCATCGATTTTGGTTCTGTCGGAAACCGTGGATATTAATTTAGGACGAACAGAATTATACGAACTGTTGGGGGCTCAGGACCTGCGGCGCCGCAAAGTGAAAAAAAAACACATCCTCGGATTCGAGGCGCACCGTCAACGGTGGCCCCCGCAACGTTATCCTCCCTCCCTTCTCGCTCCGCGTAGACGTGGAACACTGTGCCCTGTGTCCTCGCGCTTTCTCTTTGTTATGCAATACAATCGTATATTCTATTTGATTATATTCTATTTTATTTTGTATTAAAGTTTATGTCATACCATATTGTAGTATAGTACACTATATGGTAATATTTTCTATGGTATTAGATTATTGTATAGCATACTATAGTATCGTCTATTTTACTATAGTGTATAACAAAATGTTTTAACACAGTATATGATACTGTTTCATCTTCTCGCATATAATATTGTATATTGTAAAATAGTGTGTTATGTGCTATATCATATTATAGTATAGTATATTGTATTGTAATATAGTATGTTAGCGTATATTTTATACTAATATTTCATTCTCTATCATATTATATTATATTATCCTATATTATATTATATTATATTATATTACATTATCATATAATTTATTGTATTATATGATATTATATTATAGTATAGATGGCCGCGCCTGCCGGTGGCGTCGACGCTCAGAGTCTCGCGCCACCCCGCCGGCGCGGCCGCGCAAAAGGAACACGCCCAACGCAGGGCCCCGCGTCGCGCTCACGCCCAGCGCGGGTCTTGGGAGGAGAGGGCGCGTCGAGTTTGCAAGGCCTCTTGAGTGGAGGACCTCCTGGAGGCTTCAGCAGCCGCAGGCTTCCGCACAGCGACAGAGTCGCGCCACAGTCCTATGGGCCCTCTTGGGGGTTGTCCTGGACTGCTCTGTGGGCCGTCATTGGGCCTGAACGCATTGACAATCACCATGACAAGTTAGGTTCTCCGATGCCCTCCTGGGGCAGTCTCGAGCCGAACATGTCGGAAGCCCAAAACCACACCAACACCGGAGGAACAAGAAAAGGCGCTCTAGTAAGTCTCGCCGTCTTGGCGTCCTGTTCGGGCCCTCTTTGGGCGTGAGGGACCGCGTTGGGGGCACCGTGGGACCCCCTCGGGGCCGTCGTCGGGGGCTCTTCGGCCATCTTGGCGCTCGCTTGGGACGTGTTGGCTCCTCCTTGGCATGGGGCCGAGTAGGACGGCTCTTTGTCGTATGGTCGGCGTTGCCTGCAGTTTTGGACGACTGTGGCGATGATCCAAGGGGGCCATCGGGATGGGCTCAACTCCTTCAGAAGCGGCTTGGAGAGAGCCACGCCATAGTTGGAGCTCGGATCAGCACGCCCGGCACCTCTGCGGTCACAGGCGACTCTGGATCATCTACTGGCCGCCCGCGGCCCATTCCGCCACCGTGCCTTGGGGCTTCGAGGGGGGGGGTCCAGGAAGCCTCTTGGCGAGTATTTGGGCCGTCGTACCTGGCCGCAGTGGTTTGTTTTGTATTGCATTTACCCTGGATGGTCAGGCGACACACCCAAGAGGCGCCCGGGAGTTCCCAGGAAGCCCGTAAGGTCGGGATCGGGGGTTGACCGATGTGTACATTCCATTTAGCCTTTGCATCAATGGTATCAGCCCTAGGCTATGCCGCGATGTGTTCAAGCCAAATGTGCACATGCGTAAACAAAGCTATGCTTTCATACCGCTTGTTCGTTTCGAGCTTGTCGTTATCATTCCCACACTATCATTGTCCCCCATAACACTATTGGCCCCAGCCCATCTGGCCTCTTTCAGGCTGCCTTCGATCTGGCTCTGCGGATCTCCTTGCCATGGCGTACTACCGCTCGGGGGGCGCCTGGGGCAGCTCGGGACTGGGCTACGGCGCTGGGTATGGTGCAGGCGGCTATGGCAGCGGCCTGTACGGTGCTGGCGCATATGGCGGTGGTGCCGACTGCGGAACCGCCTGCTGCGCCGGAACGACCGCCGCCATGGGCTGCGGTCCCGCCTGCGGCGCGGGGTGTGCCGAGGCGACGGGCTGCGGCAGTGGCGTGGGCGGCGGCAGCGGCTGCGGCACGGGCGCAGGCGTCGAATCACAAGCAAACAGAAAACTAGGTGCGGTTTTTTATATCTTTTCGGCTCCTGGCGACGCCTTTGTGGTCGCGGAATCTTCAGACGTTGATCTGGGAGGGACAGTTGGCCGGGATGGACCCTGAGACGGAAGGGAGGTTTGGGGACAAATGTTGAGGGAATTTGTGGTTTTGGGGGATCGGAGACTGAAGACAACGACACGATTGAGCGGTTTTCGGTGATCTGTGGGGAGGGGGCCTCCGCTGCCGACCCAAGAAATGTGCGCGGACCACCGTACGTATATGTTCATGCCGTTCTTGGTTGTTCGAAGAAGGTGGCACGATCCTGAGCTACGTGGGCCCTGGGGGCGACTACGCGCAGGAGACAACGTACAGGTACGTGGGGGCGGGCGCGGGCGAGTTCGGGGTGCTTCGCATTCCCGGCCGCGGCCCCAACTGCTGCCTGTTCCTCCTCATCCCGGGGCTGCTGTCCCTGCTGCTGCTCCCGCTGCTCTTGTTCTCGCTCGCCCCAGGTAGCACCACGACGACAATGACGACGTCGACTACCACGCCGTTCATTGTCACAACCACACCGCCTCCCGAGACCACGCCATCCACGACCAAGAAGACTACGACGCAGGCGCCTCCCCCGCCGCCTCCGCCGCCCCCGCCGCCCCCGCCGCCGCCTCCGCCCCCGCCCCCTCCGCCGCCGCCCACGACCACCGAGAAAAAGATCAACTGCGGCGAAGGTGCCCCAGAGTCGTGGGACCAGGCGAAGAAGGTGCAGTGCTGCCTCATGGAGAACAAAGGATGCCCGACCACGTCCACGTCGCCCTGTCCCATCGACTGCAACGCAGGCTACAACGACCTCGACCCGCTGCAGTGGGTGCGCGGCTGGTCCGGCGAGAAGAAGCTGTACTGCTGCAAGACGGCCCAGCGGGGGTGCCCCTCGGAGCTGCCGCCCCCTTCGGGGCTGCCTCCCTCGGGGCTGCCTCCCGCCCCGGACACCAACTCTTACGACTGCGACGCCGGGTACCACCACTGCATGCACTGCCTGGAGCTCGGGGTGTTCCCCGTTTCCTCTCCGTGTCCTCTCGGGAGGCCCACGTCGCCACGGCCTGAGCCCGCCCCGACATCCCGCGCAGCAAAGGGACCCAGGGAGAGCTGGGGGCGGCAGAGAGGGTGGTGGTGGCTACAGTGCAGTTTTAAGTGCATGCCCCGCGTGCGGATCATGTATTCAAATGCAGGGATGTAATATTCAAAGCAACGATGAGTTCATGCATAAATTTATTCACAAAGTAATCATGCATTAAATTCCAATAGTTCTAAATCTTGTGTATTAAGAGCTACCTTGTATGGGGGGGATACCATGGCGCGGGCCGTAATATTTCCCCAGATTTCACGGCGCCTCTTCTTGTTTCATTACGTCCCTGGCCTCCCCCTTGGGTCGCGCACGTGCCGCTGGCCATGAGTTGCACCCCCCCCTTTGGACACCCCCCTCTTGGCCGCTCCCGAGAGAGATCCAGGGAGGGTCTGGCGGTGAGAGTGGTGGCTGCTTTGTTTCCCCAGGAGCTGTCGTGGTCCCCCCAGAAGATCAAGTACTGCTGCAGCAACTTCCACAAGGGGTGCAAGGGTGAGGAGCCGGAGTAGAGCGACGAGCTTCGAGAGTGGGCCGCGCCAGACGGCCAGGCGATGTAGCAAGGAACAGGCAAATCATGGGGAGCATTGTGTATAATAAGCAGGCAGGCGGGTATCAGTCATGTTTCTGCCGGCTGCGCCCCATTCTCTCCAGCGCCGCGGGCGGCATCTTTGTGTGGCAGCGCGGCAGGGCAAAGTTACGTGCTCGCGCTGTGCACACCGTCGGTATCGTCGCAGGCGGCCCGGCAGGCGCATATGCTAGAGGGAGCGGCGTGTACGCTTTTCGGCTCTTCGCGATGCCCGCCGACCTCCTTCGTGCTAGCTCCCCCCCCCTCCTCCCGCACCCCTCCCCGCCGGAGGCCTTCTCGGGCACCTATGTCTGCAAGCGTTCCGCTCCGAGGGCTCCCAGAGTCCCGAGAAGGAGCCGCCCAATATAAGACGTCCGAGACGTCGAGTCTCTCGAGCCTCGACCTTCCCCCCCGCCTCAAGCCTCGATCCGTGGCTGGCCGGAGGGGCGGGGCGAGGCGCCGCAAGGCGCCCGCCGCCCTCCTTCCGTCCGCGCCACCGGGGCGGGGTGCCCAACAACGGTTTCTGCAGCACTGTGCAGGATGGTGGCGGGAGGGTGCCATTTTCGTGCGGGCTGGCGCGAGAAGCGGCAAGGCAACGCCGACATCCTGCATCGATCGGAGACCCCCTCTACTGAATACCCATCAGGGTGGCGCCGATCCTTCCCCTCTCTCTCTCTCTCTCTCTCTCCCCGCAGGTCCCCACAGGCCCCCTCTCCTCCCTCCCTCCGCCTTCACTCCATCCTCCGTCCTTCCCTCCCTCCTCTCCTCCCCCCTCCGTGTGTGGCATTTTGGGTCCACGCAGCGATCCCTTGACCTCTCCCGGAGTGTGCTCTTACCAAAACTTTTAGGGGAATCCAGCCGTGGTCACGAGAAGCCCCCTGGAGCCCCCCAAACATTCTTAACGTCAAACACATTTCGATATCCTTCGATCTCCTTTTCGATATTTTAGCCATTTCCGCTCTTCCCCTCCATGTCGGGGCGACGACGACGACGACGACGACGACGATGATGGGCTCCGAGCGGCGCTGCTTACTGCTCGGGTCTCCCAGTCCTCAGGAGGAGTGTGCACTGAAAAGGGTGTCGCGGGGCAGTGTCGTCTGCGGCATGCGGCACTTCGGTGCCGCAGTCGGGGTGGTTGCGCTCTACCGTGGGCGCATGTCCTGAATGAGCCTCCGGAAAACAAGACGGCCCAAAGCAGTGTTCCCCCCCTTCCACTCCTCCCCATCGTCCTCCTAATCCTCCCCGTCCTCCGTCACCTCCTCCTCCTCCTCCTCCTCGTTTTTCTCCTCTTTGTCCTCTTTTTTCTCCTCCTCTTCCTCCTTCCCTTTCTCCTCCTCCTCCTCCTCCTCCTTCTCCTCCCCCTCTTCCCCCTCCTCTCAAGCAACCTTGGCTCGAATGCCGCTTTGGCATGCGAATTACACCCCCGCGCCTCCTCGCGGTGCTTGCGGTTCAGCGCACTTCCGCACATCCTTTCGTGTGTCAGTTGCGCTGGCGAAAGTGGGGCCCCGCCCGCGTTCCACCATGCCGACGCCATGGATCACACGTGCAGGATGCGGCACTCATGAAAAGAATCGCAACGTTGTGGCCACACCAGGGAAGCGCGGCAAGCGTCATAGAGCAATCAAGCTGTACAGGTCCAAGGGCAGGGGCAGCAAGGACGACATCAAAGGCGGCAAAAACAGCTTGCGGAACGTTGCGGGTCCAGAAGCATCGCCGACGGCTGGGTCCACCATCCAGGCGCTCACGTCAGCTTTGGCGGTGATGAAGGACCAGGCAAGCAAGGTTGTCTTTGCCGAGCATGTCGCCGCCGCGCAAGGATACGCGGCGGAGGCGTCCAGATCCACCGTGCCCGTTGCCGAAACGGTACGGATAGCGGATGGGGCTTGGAAAGACGACCAGGTCAAACATGCGCTGGCTGCAGGTACGGTCGCCAATCCGACCAAGAACATGAAGAAGGCGCAGGCCAAGGAGGAGGAACGCGCGCGGAGTTTGGCCCTGGCGGAGATCAACACATGCACGGCCGCGGTGGCGCTCGCCCGCGAGGCTGGAGTCGCACTTGGCGGCGGCGCTCCTCATGGCCAAGCGGGTGGCGCAGGCGGCTCCGAGGGAGCGGCCGCCAGCGAGCCCATATGCACGGCACATGGAACGAGGCATTCTTCAAACAGGTGGACCCCGTGGAATGCTCGACCGAGGAGCAGGACGCGCTCAAGGCGGTCGATCGGGAGCTCTGGAAGGTCGGGGAGAGTGACGAGGTCACGAGCACGCTCTCCTTCAGCAACTTCACCACCCTCGGTGCGAAGTTGTGGGCCTACCTCAGCTCCGAGGCAGTGAAGGCCAAGTGCCAGTACATCGGCGTGGTGGAGTCCCACGTGGTGGCCCACGCCAGGGCCAAGTGGGCCCGTCGGGCCCGAGGGTTCAGGCTCAAGTATTCCGACACACCTGCGCGTGAGACCACGGCATTCGGCAACCCGCCAGGGCGTTCGGCTTCGGAGGGCACGGCGGAGCGGGCCTACGAAGGCGGGGGGGGGCCCTTCTGACGCGGGGGCGTAGGCGTGCTCATTTTTTTTGTTGACAGGGCGCGTGAAGGCGCCAGCTCGCACTGTGCCAAGGACGCAGATGCTCTCGACGGCTTCCTGCCGACACTAGTACTAATGTCAGGCTTCTCGCTGCTTTTGGTACTGCATCGCGCTCGCCCGACAATTGGTATCGGAGGAGCGAACGCACACCGTTTCGCTAAATTTGGCGCGTTCCTGTTCTCGGTGGTGGTAGGCGGCTACAACATAGATATTGGAGCGTTTCAGAACTCGGCTTTCTGCCAGCGCGTGGGAGGCGTTATCAGAAGCGCTGATGTTGAGCACGCTTGTCTCGGGAGTGCAGGTAACTCGCGCGTCGACTCTGTCGTGGCATCTGAGAGTTGCATTCCGTGCGTTCGCAGCTCCCGCGCAGTGGTGGGCACGCCGTGGGCTCCGCGCATCAGATTCGAATTGATGTCGAGGGGCTCGTGGCAACAGCGGCCCCGCGTTAGCTGCCTTGCGGTTGCCGCAGGTTCCGCGCCCATCTGCCCGCGCGACCGCCGGCTCCCAGTCCTGCGCCGAACGATTCGCGCAGGCAGAATGCGACGAGCGACAGAAGGCTCGTTTGAACGATGCGTGCGATCAGCTGTTTGGCGGCATTTTTCTTCTGAAGTTCTGCCGGGGCATTCTTGTTTCAGCTGGCGCCGCCGACCCCGGCGGCTCTGGAGATCTCGACCCTGCCCCCGCTGTTGCTCGCGCGGTTGTTAAGTTTGGCGAGAAGGTCGGTTTGGGGGCGTCAGACTTCGGGCCCGACGAGGAGGGCCCGCGGGCCGCTGAATCTAGTTCTCACCCCGTCAGTCGGGCAGAGGCTCCTGGAAGGGGCCAACGGGGCAGCCCTGAGGGCATTGAACGCCCCCGCTGGCCGTTCGTCCTAGGGGCTCGGGGCCCCTTGATGGGGAAGCTGGTAGCGTCTCCCCTTCGAGCAGTGGCGAAGCGCCCCGGCTCGCCTGAAGCCCCACCAAACAATGTTCTAAGATTTTTTGTGTTTCCCATGAAATGTTTTAAGAACGTGTGGCTGGGGTTCTTGTTTGAACACATCGGGCTTCTGTTCTAGGAACATTTTGTTTTTTGTTTACATATATGTATATAATCGAACTTGTTTGGGTTATGAGAGCATTTCGTGGTATGACTATAGGAATGCCGGGGCGGTCGGCCCCTGCTCAACCCCTGCTGCTGCTTTTGCCGCTCCTCTTCCCAACTTCGCCTTCCCCTCGTCTGCCGGGGGGGCCTCCTCGGCTCGAGTTCCCCGGCAGGCCCAGTCGTCTCGCGACGTCTGGCAACTTATCAGTCAGTCGATTGCCTCCCAGGCAGGCGGACCGCACGTTCTACGCATGGGCAGTGCATTTGCGCGGTGGGCGCCCACTGCCGAGCTCGCTGTTTTGCCGCAGCGCAATCTGGAGGTGCCTGGGAGATCGAGTAGTTCAGGTTGCGAGTCCACAGTGGTTTCGGCAAAGCAAGCGCAGCGCCTCGGGCAGGAACCTTCTGACGCAACGGTATTTCCACGTGGCGGTCGAGAGCGCGCATCGCGGCGCAATGTGTCCTTCGGAATCGGCGTCGACTGAAGGGAGCTGCGCAGTTTTCGCAAGCGGGCGCGCGGCCGGCGGGCCGGCCCGTGGACGGCGCAGGGTCAGCCTCCCCTGCCAGCGCGGGGTCGTGACAGGCTCTGTGCAGGATCTGAGGCGCGTCGTAAATCTCTCGATCGACGATCTGAGTGCGCGGGGGTGGAAAGCCTTCCGCGGGCCCCGCGGGCGGCCCTTATGCACCGCGGGGATACCGTTGACACGACATTCAGAAATATCCCGAGTTATAGGGCCCAGACGCGGCTCCACGGAGCGCGGCGGTGAGGACCGAGGATTTCATCGGGGGCCGCGCGTAGCTGGAGGAATAGGCGCCACTCACTGTGGCCGACGTCCGAGCCGCCCCGGCCCGCACGAAAGGTCGGGCAGGCCCGGGCATCGACAGGGTGTCCCCCGCGGACTTCGAGCGCCCCCCCCCCCCCCCGACGAGGGTATCCAGGGGCTCTGCAGGTTGTTCCTCATGGTCGAGGAGGGCCTATCGCGGCCATGGCAGGTCGCGCGCGCGGTGGGGGTGTTTTCGGTTCAAAGTCGGGCAGTGATCGAGTCGCGGGTTGAGTGGCTACTCTGCGCGGACTCTGGTTGGTGGCCAGATAGGCGCAGATGAAGGGGGGGGATCTTTCGCAGGAGGCGGTGGGGCACTGGGGCGCGGCCACGGCTGGGAACAGCGCCCTGCGCCAAGCTCTCGCGCGAGCGCTGGAGAAAGAGGTGCACGCGCGCCTCCTGCCCCCACGTGGCCATGCCTTGGTCGACACTGCCTCAGTTTAAGATTCGATCGAATGGGATGCATTAGCTCGCTGCGCACTGCGCGCAGGTTCCTCGGCAGCCGTGTTACATCTGGAACTTCAGATTTGCTTCGCCCCAAGGATGTCGGAGCAGCTCAACTCGATATCGGAGCCATTCCAAGGGCTGCGCTCGGCGGTGCAGGGGCTGAGGGGCGGCGCGCGCGGAGTGCCTCGCGGCCCGCGCGTGCAAGCGGCTGCGCGAGTCCCACGCGTCGCTTTCGCAGCGCATATGGATCGACGACCTCTCCCAGAGTGTCGCGGGCTCGAGGAGGCATGCCAGGACTGCTCTCCTTCGGGGAGCGCTGGCGACGCCCGAGGTGCTCAAGCGACTCCAGCCAGCCCTCGCCGACGAGAGCGCCGCCGCGCGCTCGCGCCGCCCGGGCGCGGCGCTGGCGGAGAAGGCGCCGCGCGGGAAGGGCGTAGCGCGGGCTTTGCTTCAGGGCGCCTACCCGGGAGTCGACCTCGCTGACTGTCGTCGACAAGTTCGGGCGACAGCGAGGCAGCGGACCTTCGAGTCGGGCAGGGATCGCGCTCGATTGAGGCGCCTCGTCCGCGCGGCGAGGCGCTGGGCTGCTTCGGCCAAGCTTCAGAGAGCTGGGCCGCAGGCAGCTGCTGTGCGCGGCCATCGCGTGCACGGCCAGTTTGAAAAAGGCCAGGCTGACAAAGCGGCGCAGACTCCGAGCGGCAAAACGGTCAGCGAAGCGAGGGAGATGTCTCATTATTATGTTGTCCTTGCGGTTGCCCGCGCGCGATCCTGGGGCTTCGCTTCCGCGCCGATGCGTCTATCAGCGGCTGCAGGCGTGGCCCGCCGAGGACAGGATGAGGCGGTCGATGCGCCGAGCATGGCCACTTGCAGCGGCACGTCTGATGGGGTCGCCCCGAAGGGCAGCGAGTTCGGCGCGCGCGCTGCCCGATGACGACAGTGGTCCTTGATCTGCTCTAGGCGGGGTGGTCTCCGCTTTCTCCGACGGATTCGGAAGCGCCGCGCGATGGCACCGCGATGACCCGCACTTGGCACTTCGGCAGTGGGGACTTCGAGGCGCTGGACCAGGCGAGCCCTCTTTCGGATGAGTTGCAGCGTAAGTTCGAGCTCAAGCAATGGCGAGAAGCTTCGTCGTTATTCTGCGGTTCCGGCTTGGAGGGGGGCGCGGGCGTGGGCTCAGGCTGCGATATCCGACCCGCTTCGCGTTCGTGAAGGTCGTCAGCTGTCCGAGCTTCTTGCGACGATCTATTCTGGAGGGCATTAGACGCAAGAGTGCAGCTTCCGTGCCAAACTCTGATCTGACGACATGTGCATTCGTTGTAGGAATGACACAGACACGGCTTTGCACGGCAATTGGACGCGCGAAGACAATTTCAATCTTGAGGCGCACGATGATCCCAATGAGTTGCCACCGCAGGCTGTATCTAAATCAGGCGATAACCTTTGTTCGGGTGCGTGGCAGAATCCCGATTCCCCGGGCCAGGGCCCCGCCTCCGCTTCAAAACGAGAGCTGGTTCAGGGTATGTTTTTGGCGGACGGCCTTGGACCAGGCTGTCTACTCTCGGGGTCGTCGGAGGCCCCTCCGACTGTATTTGCGGGCGCGTCCGGGGGTCAGGACGCGGCCGGCGCGTGTCTGAGGTGCGTGGGTTTAGCTGCCGCTGTGTTTTCTCGTGTTTTGCTCCTCTCCTCCCAGGTCCTCACCTCTTCGGGAGGGCCTGCCCAGAGTGTCCCTCGTGGCGAGCTGGGAGGTATTGAATAGGCTCTGCGATTTTTTTTACGCAGGTGCGCTAGTTTGCGCAACTGCCTGCGCTGATGTCGATCGGGGATGGCACGATGAATAATTTCGGCGCCCCGAGGGCCCACAGGCTGACATCTGGCGCCAGACAGGTAAGACCCTGCAAGCTCAAGGCTGGCACCCTTTTAGTTCTGTAGTCATGCAGGCCCCTTCCCTTTTAAAGGGAGTGAGGTCTCGGCTCGTGAGATCCCGCCCTGGCTTGTGCAGGGCCATGCTTGCCTAGGCGCCCTTGCTGGGGAGGCTGCCGCGCGCGCGCGCGAGTCTCCTAGGCCAGTCGTCTCCAGGTTTTGCGATTGGAACAGAAAGCTCGGACGGTGCGACGGAGGCTGCTGCGAGTCGCCCTTGGCTCAACTAAGTCTTCCCAACTGCCAGGATAAGGTATGGCTACGGCTGCTCATGGTTATCCGCCTCTGCCTCCTCCCCTTCCGATAGCCGTTGCACGCTTCGCGACCCAGCACACCTTGACCGAACATGGGAGAGCGCGTCGCGTGTGTAGGGGTTCCTCGACTATCGTGGCATTGTTCGGGTGGTTCAAAAAGTGAGTGCTTCCAACTCCTGCATGTAAGTGGCCAAGTCGCCCGAGTTTCCCTGGGACAGCGTTTACACATTGCTCGCGGCTGGACCCATCGTCCCCGTGCCTTTCACTTACGGCAGTGTGTGGTTCGTGTGGCTCTTCCGGTCAGGCCCAGCTCAGGGACCTGGCACAGCCTTGTCAGCCATGTATCATATTGAAGGCCAGGCGCGGACATTTTGAAATAGTTTCTCGCGGCCTCTTTCCCAAGAGCTGAGCGGAGTGTGTGTGTGTGGGGTATGGCAACGTCGTGGCGGAACTCCTGGAAATCCTCCTCCTCTTCCTCCTCCTCCTCCACCTCCTCCTCTTCCTCCTCTTCCTCCTCCCCCTCCTCCTCCTCTTCCTCCTCCTCATCCTCCTCCTTCTTCTTCCGCCTCCTCCTCCTCCCCTCGTCCTCCTCCCCCTCCTCCTCCTGCTCCTCCTCCTCCTCCTCCTCCTCCTCCTCCTCCTCCTCCTTTTCCTCCTCCTCTTCCTCCTCCTCCTCCTCCTCCACCTCCTCCTCCTCCTACTCTTCATCTTCACGACGACGGCGACGACGACGACGACGACGACGACGACGACGACGGGGCATCCCGTGGCGCGCAGCGCCCCCCCCCCACCCCCCCCAAGGGAGCGCCGAGCCGCCGCGCGGCGCCCCGTCCCCCCCTCCCGCCCGCCATGGCCCCGAAGCGGCGACCCACCGCCGCGGCTGGGCGGTTATCGGAGCCGCAGGAGGAGCGCCCGTTGTGGGACCAGGCGATCGGCGCGAGCAGCGCGGCGCGCCGGCGGCGGCCTCCCCCCCCTTCCTCCTGCTCGTCGTTCTTCTCCTCCTCCTTCTCGTCCTCCTCCTCCTCTTCTCCTCCTCCTCCTCGTCCTCCTCCTCCTGCTCCTGTTCTCCTGTTCCCTGTTCCTCGTCCTCCCCTCCTCCTTCTCCTCCTCCTCCTGCTCCTCCTCCTCCTCCTAATCCTACTCTCTAATCCTAATCCTGATCCTCATCCTAATCCTAATCCTCCTCTTCCTCCTCCTCCTCCTCCTCCTCCTCCTCCTCCTCCTCCTCCTCCCTCCTCCTCCCCTGCCTCCTCCTCCTCCTCCTCTTCTTCCGCCTCCTCCTCCACCTCCTCCGCCTCCTCTTTTTCTGCGGCTGCGTTCGGCCGCTGGGGCGCCAGCTTCGGTGTGAAAGAAGCCGGCGTAAACAGCAACTGTCGGTCTCCCCCCATTCGGGTGCGTTCGGGCCTCGGCATGCCAAACGGGGCCAGGACGCGGAGAAACCCGTTCCGGAGCCCGCAGTTCCCCCTCGGACGGGGCCAGGGCGAGGAGAAGTGCGTTCCAGGGCCCGCGGCTCCCCCTCGGACGGGGGCCAGAACGAGCACAAAGCCGCTCCAGAGTGTTCCGGAGCGCTCTCAAAGCGTTCGGGAACGCTCTGAGACCGGAGGGTTCCAAAAGGGGTTTTTGGGGAGGGGGTTTTCTAGGAGGGGTCCCACAGGGGCTTCGCACTCCATGTTTTGACGAGGTTCCGAGGCCCCTGGGGGGCTCCCTGGAAAAACCCCCTCCCAAAAAAACCCTTTTTGGAACCCTCCTGTGGAAAGGCCGCTGTGGGGCCGGGCGGAGCGCGCCAGCGGCGGCCTCCTCCCTTCGGGTACGTTCGACCGCTGGGGCGCCGGATTCGAGGTGGAGCAAGCGGCATTCAGCACAAGTTGTCGGCGCTCCGACGAGCCCGCGTGCCTCCATCCGCCGCCGAGGGGGGGCCCAACGCCGATGCGAGAAAACGCGTGCAGAAGTCTGATGGCTGATGATTGTGCCGTTTATTTTTGTGCTGTTCCAGTATGCACGGATCCTGGGACCAGCAGGGGCCTGGCCAGGGCAGGTAGGGTGGGGCCAGGGCGAGGAGAAATCCGTCCCAGAGCTCTCTGGAGCGCTCTCAAGGCGTTCCGGAACGCTCTGAGAAGGCCGCGGCGCCCGATAAGAGGCGCTCCAGAGCCGCCGGATCTCAGAGATTCTCGTCTCATCCTCACCCGATGTGATTCTCGTATTGGCTTCGTCTTGTATGTTCGGAGAGAGGTCTAAGATCGAGGTCGGTTCGGGAAGGGTACCCTGATACGTAGTTGTTGCGGTGTTTGGGCTGGCGGAGGGCCTCATGTTCTTGAGAGATGTGTTTATGTCCCGGGTCCGACCATTCTGCTAGACGCGCCTCTGGCCCAAGGTGCCCCCAGGATTTCCGAGGCTCTTACACGCCAGTCGTTGGAAGCAGATGTTTTTGGATCCTCAGATCCCAATCTACTTTAGCCGCCTTCCTACTACAATGATCGAGTGGGCTCCCCTTTTCCTTCATCTTTAGGTGGCGGGCCGAAGCCCAGTACATCTCCAACGCCTTCCTACTTCGTGTTTCTACCCGCATCTTCTGATCGATGGGTACGGCCTCCAGAGCGAACCTCATGAGGCCCAGAGGGCCCCGGGGGCTCCAACATTGAGCGAAAAGCTGGGAGCGCCATCTGTGCCAGGGGTAGTTCAAGCCGTTCTAGCACCCCTCCGAGTCCTGTCTCCTTATAATGACTCCTCCCCGTCGCACCCCCAGACGTGTCGGTAGGGCGGACCGGGCGTTTCGTTTCAGGCTTCTCGCCATGTGTGATCTTGAAGTTTGGAAATTTCAACAGTCTCACGGATGGATGGAGGGCGGCTGGTTTTCAAGACGTGGTTCTCGCCTTCGCGCCGCGCACATTCGTTTTGAAAGGTTGCAGCGGTTCCACGGATGTATGTCGGTTTGTTCTCAAACCGTGGTTCTCGCCTTAGCGCCGCTCACGTTCGTCTCAAAAGGCTGCAGCAGTTTCACGGATGGAGAGCGGGTGGTTTCCAAATTGTGGGTCTCGCCGTAGCGGTTCGCAGCAGTTTCCCGGAGACAGGTTGGGCGGTCTCCAACATGTATTTCTCGCAATAGAGTCGCGCGCAGGTTGGGCGGTTCCACAGATGGCAAGAGTTTCAAGGATCAAGGGCGTTTTTGTTTCACAACAGTTTCAAGGGGACGTGTGGCCGAACTCCCAGGCATGGCGTTCTGCCACGATTAAGGATTGGCAGGACGCAGCAGTTACGTTGATTCGCAGCTTCGAAGTCCCAAGAACGATGCTCTGCCACGATTGCAAATCGGGCGGACGCAGCGATCACGTTGATCCGCGGCGTGCGTTGAAGTCCCAGGAAAGTGCTTTGGCGTTTTGTCACCATTTAGTGCCTTATACGGTTGTCTTCGAATGGGCCGATTTCCGCTTTTCGTTCTAAGGGACCTATGGAGAGGGAATTCAGAGGGAGGGTTTATTGCAAAATTGTGCAACATCATTGATTGATCTTAGGTTTGCACAGGCCCTTCTTCCCCTGTTCCTCCTTCATTCCTGCTCCACCAGCCTGGCTGGGGGGTGGGAATCGAACCTGCACCGTATGGTTACGAGTCCGAACCGGTGTACAAGTTTAGTGCGTTCGTGCTATTCTAAAAACGTGTTGCGCATATCATGGTTTTCCACGTGTATATAAATATCCGTAAGGGCTTCGCCCCCTGCCGCCGGCCCCCTCTCTCGGAGAATGGGCCATGGAAGAGCTAAGTCATGAGGCTTTGGCGCTGTCGTGCAGCAGTATCGGAACTTCATGCGAGGCCGATTCGCAATCGGCAAAACCAACTGATCACAAGAGGGGTTACCACACAGGGCGATTGGTAAGACGTGTATGGTTTACGAGCTTGGTTACCACACCTTGGGATTAAAGGGCCGAGGGAGTACTCGCAGTTTGGGTTACCACGCCTTGCGATGGATGTGCGTGAGGGGTGGCACCGAATTTCAGAAATGTGGCAAATCCCCTGTGTTTTTGGACCCTGACCCCGCGGATCTGCGTGAGGGGTGGCACCGAATTTCAGAAATGTGGCAAATCCCCTGTGTTTTTGGACCCTGACCCCGCGGATCTGCGTGAGGGGTGGCACCGAATTTCACCCTGAAATGTTTCAGAAATGCAAATCCCCTGTGTTTTTGGACCCTGACCCCGCGGATCTGCGTGAGGGGTGGCACCGAATTTCAGAAATGTGGCAAATCCCCTGTGTTTTTGGACCCTGACCCCGCGGATCTGCGTGAGGGGTGGCACCGAATTTCAGAAATGTGGCAAATCCCCTGTGTTTTTGGACCCTGACCCCGCGGATCTGCGTGAGGGGTGGCACCGAATTTCAGAAATGTGGCAAATCCCTGTGTTTTTGGACCCTGACCCCGCGGATCTGCGTGAGGGGTGGCACCGAATTTCAGAAATGTGGCAAATCCCCTGTGTTTTTGGACCCTGACCCCGCGGATCTGCGTGAGGGGTGGCACCGAATTTCAGAAATGTGGCAAATCCCATGTGTTTTTGGACCCTGACCCCGCGGATCTGCGTGAGGGGTGGCACCGAATTTCAGAAATGTGGCAAATCCCATGTGTTTTTGGACCCTGACCCCGCGGATCTGCGTGAGGGGTGGCACCGAATTTCAGAAATGTGGCAAATCCCTGTGTTTTTGGACCCTGACCCCGCGGATCTGCGTGAGGGGTGGCACCGAATTTCAGAAATGTGGCACAATCCCATGTGTTTTTGGACCCTGACCCCGCGGATCTGCGTGAGGGGTGGCACCGAATTTCAGAAATGTGGCAAATCCCCTGTGTTTTTGGACCCTGACCCCGCGGATCTGCGTGAGGGGTGTCGATTTCGAGCCCCCCCAGCAATTCAGACAACGCGCCCAGGGGGTGCTAAAAGTCCGGTTTGGGCCTCCCCCCCCCTCACGCGGTCAATCAACTAGTTACAGTAACCAGCAAGAAGCAGAACTGTAACACTGGAAACTACAAGCTACAACTGGTATAGGAAACTGCGAACCCGCGCCTACAGCCTGGTGGCCCCACAAGGGGGCTGGCGGATATTCATTGAGAGTGAGAAGTATTTCTACATATGTGTTAGCCACCGTGGACTCCAAGCACCATGCTCTAGCAACCGATGCTCTGCAAGCTATGTTGTGCAGCACGATGTGTTGCAGAGCGAATGCTCTCAGGAGCGGGGCCTTGCTGGCGGCCTGGCGGTCCTGATTCGGGCGAAGAAAACTATGCACATGCACCGATCCTGACAACGCCCATCCTTGACCCAGGATCGGTGCATATACCTCCCTGGCCAAGGTAAGAGGGCGTATGCACCGATCCTGGGCTCAGGGTTGGGCCTGGCCAGAATCGGTGTATGTGCATAGTTCTCTTTCCTCTACCTGATGCCGCCGTCGCCTCCCCGTCGCCGCTCTCGTCGCCGCCCGCGCATCTGGGCCTGGCCGGTGGTCTGGCGGCGGCTCTGCTGCCGCCGTCGCGGGCCCCGTGGCCGCCCGGCTGCCAGGCCGAGTGTGCAACAGGTCGAGGATGATGGCCCTGGTTTCCACCACCACCACCATAAGTTGGAGGGGGAGGGGGTCGTCCTCCTCCACCACCTCCTTCTCCTCCACGTCCTCCTCCTCGTCCTCTGCCTCCTTCCCCCCTCCGGCTTATGGTGGTGGTGGTGGAAAACAGGCCCATCAGAGGAAGCGTAAGACGCGAGTAAGCCGAAACTCGGGTTCGCCGACTTCATCTGGCGAGCGCGTCCTGGATTTTGACGGTCCGGTTTTCGTGGGATGGCTGCAGCGGGAGTTCGCGTCCAATTTCAAGTTGGGTCCCATCATTCTTGTGATGACCCCGTCAAGCCAACCCGAGTCCCCCGTCTCCTAGTCGTACGTCTCCCCAAACATAGATTGCACA